GAGTGTGGGCATGGAGCTGCAGGCCTTGAGTGGTCCTGACACTCGGAGGGAAAGTGTGGGCATGGAGCCGCAGGCCTTGAGTGGTCCTGACACTCGGAGGGAAAGTGTGGGCATGGAGCTGCAGGGCTTGAGTGGTCCTGACACTCAGCAGGAGAGTGTGGGCATGGAGCTGCAGGCCTTCAGTGGTCCTGACACTCAGCAGGAGAGTGTGGGCATGGAGCCGCAGGCCTTTAGTGGTCCTGATACTCAGCAGGAGAATGTGGGCATGGAGCTGCAGGGCTTGAGTGGTCCTGACACTCAGCAGGAGAGTGTGGGCATGGAGCTGCAGGCCTTCAGTGGTCCTGACACTCAGAGTGAAAGTGTGGGCATGGAGCTGCAGGGCTCGAGTGGTCCAGGCCCACAGGAGGACAGCATGGGCATGGAGTTGGAGGTGGCTGATGTTAAACTTGAGAGTAACAACAGGCCCACAGAAGATCCTGAGCTGATTTCCTCACAGGTGTGTCTTTCTCCTCCTGTCTTGGGAATTGCCAGGCCAGAAGACCTTACCCATGAGAATTATGATGAGACATCTGTAGGCAAGATGCAGGAGCTTTGTGGGGAAAGTCCACCAGACCCCAGCATGGTGAGCCTCTGCCCTCCACCTTTGGCGAAAAACCAGCCTCAGGGTGAGAAGCAGGGGGCAGACAACACCCACTCTCTGGCCGCGGCTCTGTTGGAGCTCCATGAGCTTCTAGTGGCTAGCAGTCGTGGTACCTCTCAGGATCTCACACCTGGAGACAGCCCAGTGTGTCAGAGACAAGATGCTGACAGCTCTGATGTTCCTGTTTCTTGGGGTCAGACATGCATGCAGGGTGGGTTTCTGGTGAATACCGAAACAGAGGCAAGTATTGCCAAACCTGAAACTGCTGCTGCTGAATGTCCTTCCCCTTCCCCCTCACCTAACCTTCTGTCTGTAAAAGAACAAGATGACAGAGCCCAGCCTGCGTGGGTTCCAGAGATAGAGCAGGGTTCTTCCGAAATGCAGACAGGTCAAGGATCATCTGGAGGAGAGTCTGATGTCTTGGAGGAGAAGCAGCTGGTCTCCAAGGCCCAGGAGTGCCGGGTGCCTGGTAGTGGCCAGCTGGGGAGAGGGGTAGCTTCCAGGAGAGCCAGTGTCCCTGATGCCCTGGACTCAGAGATGGAGGTGCCATTAAACTCCAGTGCTGGTCCACTTGTTTCAGGGGTTCCCGATGGCCAAAGCTTCCCCCAGGTTCTGTTTCCTTCCTCTGGTGGAGCTCCTCTTGTATCTCCTGCTCCGCAGGGTGTGGCTGCCACTCGGCCGCTGCACTTTCCCGATGCCCACATCCAGAGGATCACCAGCGCTGGGTTCACTGACACAGAAGCTGTGGAGACTCTGGAGCAGTTCCAGGGAAACCCGGAGTTGGCTCTGTTAGTTCTGTTGGCCAGAAAGATCAAGGTCCCCACTTAACTGCTGCTGAACTCTCTGCAGCAATGTGTGGCAGGAACCTGGCTCCCTGACTGCACTGGAGGAAGGACTGGAAAGTTGTGAAAGTGTTCTGCAAGGCCGTCCTGTGCTGATTGCTGTGCTTGCTAATGTTATGCTTGACGAGCGCTTGTTGGGCAGCCAGTCCGCTGGAGGAGAGGTGTTGACCTAAGCCAGTCAGATCATCGCGGGATTGTGAGGTGATGACAGTTCCTCTCCAAGACTCTGCAGTTTATCGACTTTTATGTTTTTATCCTGGGATGTAACTGGCTTCTTCGGGGGTGGTGTTTACTTTAGGTAATAACAGTAGAGGTCCGTCCGACATAGGTATTGAAAAGGGTGTTTGATGATGGAGATTATTAATACTAATATTTTTTAAGTAAAGTCCATACAGACAGTGTGCCAGATTTCTGAAACGCCACCTCATGTCTGCACTGAGCCGAAACCCTCCCAGGAGCACGGACAGCCTTTTCTGCATGTGAAACTAAAAGATTGCATTGAAGTCTACTCTGTTATACAGAGTGCTGCCATATTTGGGCTTGTTTCAAGGAGTGCGGCATTTTAGTATGTCCCAGCTTTGTTAATTCTTGATCAGGGGCAATAAGCAGCATATTAAGCCACCACACACACAAACTGGGAGGTTCTGTGCTCTGTCAGCTGGCAGATGTGTGGCCTCAATTGTCTTGGAGATGGGCAATGTTTCGCCTCCCATGGATCTCTCTTCATTAGTAATGAGGAAAACAATTGCTTTATTGCCTGTAATCTGCAATAAAACACTCCCCCCACCCCCCACCCCACCCCCCACCAAAACATGACTGGGTACTCATGACATGCTCCTCAAGAGAATTAGTTTGAAATTGGAGGTGGGGAAATGAAGTACTGCTGTACCTGAGAAGAGGTCGGTTGATTGTTTTGCCAAATAGCCATGTTCTGATCCTCAGGAGTTAGAGCACTGATTTCAGGGTGAGGATGGGAGCAGATGTGCCAAGTCTGCCTGCCCCTATGGAGCTTCTCATGGTGCAGAAAAAGCCAGTGACTTCCTAAAGCCTTCTTTGTCTCTGCATTGGTCTCTGATTCTTAGTCACGGCGATTCCATCCTGTATTCTGTGTAATTATGTCCTGCTGAACCCCCAAGGGATAATGTACATCAAGACTGTGGGTGTTGCCCGTGCCTGGGGGCCATGTGCAGGTCACAGGCAGGTTTATAAGTTTACTTTCTTTTTTAGTTTATTCACTTATGTCACATCCAGTTTTGTGTGCTGGATTCCCTGGCAGTTCCTGAGAGTGTTTCTGATGAGGTTAGCTGTTTTTGTGCTGAATGACTTTTCCTGCATTAGAACATCTCCAGAAACAAAATTTAGGAGTTTGTTTCGAAAGCTTCAAGACGCAGTGTTCAACATTCTGCAGATAATTGTATCTGCATCATAGTTTAGCAGTTCCTTCAGGGCGCTGTCGGTTTTAGTAAGTGCACCAGGGTGGGCGCAGCTGGGGGCGTGTGTGGCCTAACAGGCAGCACGATGCTCCCTCAGCGCTTGTCTTCCTCCAGGGCTCACTGTCGGTAGAGGGAAGCCAGCAGGAGAACACGCAACAGGTACTCCTGTCCTTCTCTTCCGAAGTGATGGTGAAAGATCTTAAACTTTAAAACTGGTCTTAATCTTGAAATCTTGGTTAAGGGATTATGAAACACAAATCCAGACCTTTTAATGTAGTCTAATGAAATAATTTTTTAAGTTGCCCAGGTTCATCTTCAGTTTTGGTATGGTCTTGAAGTTAGCAGAGCTGAGGCAGAAGCCAGACGATCGAGTGAACAGCGTACAGGGCAGGGCTCCCCTGAGAGAAGAGGTGATAATCCACCACTGTCAGTGTTGATGTGGGGATGATCTCCAGGGTTGAAGACAGGATTGCGAAACATCTGCCCGGGTTCAGGACAACAGCTGTTGTTCAGCCGGAATTATACCTCAAATCAGCTCCTTGTACTTCAGCTCCCCCGTCTCACTGTCAGCAGCCCAATCCAGCTGTCCACAGATTCATCTGATTAGTTATTTTGTTGATTTTTTTAGATTGGTTCTGTACCTACAGCATTCAGACCATTTTAAAATTCTCTGTTCTTGTATACATAATGAAAAATAAAATTGGTTCTTTATATTTTATTTTTTGTGTTATACTTCATTAAAGAATTTTGAAATAGTATGACCTGTTTAGAAGCACAGTATCAGTGGTGACTTCCGACTGGAAGATAACTTAAATTACAGTCTTTTAAAATGATGATTCAACAAAATTAGCTTTAGGTTAATAGATATTTAAAACAAACTGTTTTGACGTTGCTTTTCCAGGGTAAAAGTGAGTAAACCTATTCTGGAATCAAAAGGTAAAATTAGTTGACAAGCCTTTACTCTAAAACAGTTTAAAATACAAGCCTTTGACACAGTGCTTCATATTTTATACTTAATTGACAAATTGGTAAAACAAAGTGACCGGTACCAAGTCAAGCAAATACCATCAAAGCCTCCAATAAGTAACTGAACATTCTTGCATAATAAAAAATGGTGACGAAACAAAATTGATAAACACCCTGAGGATCAGATGGGCTTCAGAGTTGTATCCTTTTGAACCATTCTTGTAAAAGGCAGAACAAAGAGGATGCTGCTGTTAGACATGCCCGTTGCAGTTACCTTTTGTGCCAAGTTTGAGTTGAGGCAGTTTTGTGGAACAGCATCACTCTGTGTTGGGCTCATGTGTTTAGTCTTACAGAGCAGCACCTCCAGTGGCCCTGGTGAGCCTACCAGGATGGGAGAGATCCGCTGACCATTTTGTGCACTCAAGTCTTCCACTAATACCATCCATGTATTTTCTAACTGCTTCATCTGACACAGGATGGTGTGGCTGCAGGTGCAAGGCAGAGTACACCCTGGACAGGACACCGGTCCATTGCCAGGCAAACAAATACACTTACAGCAGGGCCAGTTTTCCCAGAAGCCAATCAACCTACCAGTATGCCTTTGGTCTGTGGGGGGGAACCACAACACTCAGAGGAAACCCACATGAATATGAGAACAACATACAAACTCCACACAAATAGCACCCCAGGAATTGAATTGAACAAATGCCAACTACTGTGCCACCCTGCCACCCAAACAGTAATACCTACACAAGAAAATTGACACCTACGTTTACTTATCAGAGTTTTGTATTTAAGAATTAAAATGTTATCTTGGCACAGTAGTGGGTGCAGACTTGGAAATACTGATGTGCTTGTTATACGTGAAATTGTCTCGGATAAGGATAATAACAGAACATTAGCGATGCTGCATGTTACCCAATCGATCTGCACATGTTTTCGTCGATTTCACAACAAGCAGGTCGAATGTCAGAGGTCAAGTCCCCCTCCGGGTGACGTTACATCCTGTCACGAGTGCGCAGCGCTGCCTGCAGTCTTGTCAACAGAGCGGCGGAGAGTTGTGTTGGTAGCGCTGTGAACAGGTGGCTGTAAGGAAAAAAATAATACATTGCCGCCCTGTCTGGCAACAGCTGCATGGGTCAGGAGCGAGAGACTGTTCTGCAAACCGTGGTGTCTGAAATGCGTCTTCGGGACGAGTGGTACTAGAATGGAGCCGCGCAGGTACGAGGTGGAACCGGCGACAAGACGGGACCAGTTCTGAGACAAGGTTTGGCTTTGAGCTCAGTTCCTCAGCCGAAGGGTCTAAAGAAACTGTAGGAGGGAAGGGAGCTGTGATGTGCCCGGACAGTCGTGCATTGAGGAGGATAGTGATCTCTCACAGCCCTGCGCGCATCTTCCACCGATGACCAGCGTGGGGCTGACTGACGCCCGGACTCCGCGGAGGGTCACTGCTCGCCCGAAACATCCAGCTCCCCGGCGCCAGGCTCGGCTGGACCGGGCAGGTCCCGAGCAACAGCAATAACAGCTCATCGCGGTTTTCTCCCAGGCTGCAATGGTGACTGACCAGGCTGAGGTACCGGCCATTTCGTTACTGATCTGATATCGGCGCAGCTCCCAGTCCGGGAGTTGGATACAGAGCGTCCTGCGTGGTGCTCATCTTGCCGGCGGCCATATAGACGCACAAGGGGAGAGAAAGTAAGGCGCTCCGGGGGCTGCCCGGGCTCTGGGGACAATCTGCCCCGAGGAGAGGGACAGTCTTCAGTTCGCAGGCGGACCGAGCGAGTCCGAGTCATGGATCAGCTCAAAGTCAAAGACCGCATCCTGGAAAATATTTCCTTGTCCGTGAAGAAGGTAAGCCGGGAGCGGGGCGGGGAGAGACTGGATTCCGGGGATTCGGGGAGGGCCTGGGCTCGGGACTGTCGAGCTGTCCCGAGAGGGATCAGATCAAAGGCCGCTGGTGTGGAGACTCCACAGACAGTAACATCTACAGGAAGGTTCTAATTATTTAAATGATCATTATTTTCGTACCACAAGTGTGATGGTAACCTTAAAATGACCGCGCTGAAAACAAAGCCTGTTTGACACATTAAGCCGAGCAGAGGTAGAGAGCCTCTCTGCTCGTCAAGTTTTCTGTGTCCAGGCGTAAGCAGTCGCTGCTGCTGAAGCTGTTGGTTTTGGCCGGACAGCATCGTGAATAAAATTCAATGTTCATCGAGCTGTGTTTTCTGTGACTAAGATCTCCAGAAGGCCATTCTACCGATCTGTTGTGGATACGAAGATGTTGTGACCCTGTTCTCTTTCAGTTTAAAGGTTCCTCAGAGTCGGTGTCGTCAGTGGCCCTTAAACCTGCTGCTGGAAGTTATTACCCTCCCGCAGAAACAGCAGTTTAACTTGTTTCATGTTTTCATGCTCAGGGGCTGTTGTGCATACCGCTGGGACAGAAAAATGGGCGCTGAGATCATGCTTAAACCATTGTTCTGTGCGGTCTGCACGCATGGGAGAAGAACGATATTGTAAACAGAAGTATCCTATGCTTGTCAGTTGCTACAGAAGAACCTGTAGCTGCTTAATCCTAAAAGGACCCAACTGTTGTCCCAGAAATGTCCCATTTCTTTGTGCTGCATGGGATCTTTTAGATGTATAGTCTGAGATCTGTCTCTGGTCCTGGTCTTCAGCTCTCAGCGGAGTAGTGCATGTGACAGAGAGGGTGTCTCTGTCTCCCTATCTGGCAGTCTCACTGTGTGATTCAGCATGCCTCCTCCCTCTCTTCTTTCTCCATCTGTTTCCATTTTTGTTTATTTGGTATTTCCGAGCCCTGCCTGCCAGGTCACATGACTGTCAGGAGGCTGGAAGAAAGGTTGGGTCACTTGTTCACATCCAGACAGCAGTGCCCTGCACAGTGGAAGATTCCCATTGTATTGCAGTCTGATCCACTCCGGGCTTTACAGTCTGCTCACTCCAGCAGGCTCTGAACTTGTTCTTCAGACATCATCAGCAGAAAATATCTCTCCCAACGGTGCACCACAGAGTTTAAGAAACCCCTTTGATTCTTCAAATTGGCGAGTATCAGGAAGGAGCCCTGTGCTGTGTTGTTTTTCGGTGCGCCAGTGTGAGTTCATGTGCTCAAGGCTGACAGAAATCGGGAACGATTGCTCGTTAGTCAAGGCACAAGGCCACTGAGTGCTCCCTGGATTCAGCAACTAAAGACAGCAAGGATGGCTCACGTTAACTATCCAAGTGACGTTTCATTGTGATTTTCTTAAATGGGAAAGGGGTGTGCTGCAGCTGTAATTAATTTAAGTGGACATGCTTTTTGGTGGAAGTAGTAGTACTATAATGTAGATCTGCAGAAGTAGGCGTTGACCCCCTGCACCTTAAAGAATTGATCACTAGTATGTAGCTAAATGTGGTATGTTTAAGTAAAATAGGTAGAATGGGTATTATTAACAAGCAAGGACAATTTAACAATGTTTTTATTCAAATGTTTTTGTGAAATAACCTTGTTTCGGAGGTAGTAACACAGGGGCAACTTTTGTATTTGAAGCTGTAACAGTCAAACAAGCTCTCTTTAGGGAAGCCCTGGTGAAAGATTTGTGTATATTTGCTATAATTAATAATGATAATGGGTGAAAAAAACATCATTTTTGCAGAAGCAATCTGCAAGGAGGTATTCTTTACCGCACAGCTGCTCAATAATGAGGATGTGGGTTTTAAGAAGGCAACTCATTTTTTTCATGGGGTAGGAATGCAGTGTGCACAGTTTTTGTGTGGGAGCCCACAAAACGACATTCCTCCTGACCTAACGCATAAGGAAACAGTGATACATATGAAAATTCCTCTAACATTTAACTTCTTCTGGGAGGAGGATTGTAAGAATCCTTCTGGTAAGTTCTTCTTTTACCTCAAGTTTCATAAAAGACAGAAAAGAGTGAAATCACTGTAGTGTCTGTTTGTGTTCTTGAAGAAAAGGCTTGTTCAGAATGAGAGCCAGCAAGTGGTTGTTCAGATCAGAACAGCCACAGTTGAGAGCAGAGGGTCTCACAGCCTCTTCAGCACCTCAGAGCGTGTCCAAGCCGCTGGTTTTCGGAAACATTTCCTCCCAAGGTGCTCTGCTTCAGTCTTGACTCTCCAGGAGCTAATATCTGCACAGCCACGGCAGTGCCTTCCCCCGTCTGACAGCTGGGTTTCTTGCCAGCTGCAGAGCTACTTCGCTGCCTGTGAGGAAGAGGCGCCTGCGATCCGGAACCATGACCGCGTCCTGCAGCGGCTGTGCGAGCACCTGGACCACGCACTGCTGTACGGGTAAGGGGAGACAGGAGGGGGCGCTGCTGAGCCCTGCTGACTCAGAGGCTGTAATGGCTGTGTCTGGTCCTGGAGAGCAGCCCCGCTGCAGGGCAGTACCCCTGTTGACGCATGCCTTGTATTTCATATTTGTTCACACCTGAGCACCTGCAGCCTGACGTGGACTCTGTTGTAACCCGACGTTGTTTCCTGTCCCTCTGTGTGCCGGTGCCAGGCTGCAGGACATCTCCTCGGGGTACTGGGTTCTGGTTTTGCACTTCACTCGGCGGGAGGCGGTCCGGCAGATCGAGGAGCTACAACATATTGCCACCAACCTGGGCCGCAGTGAGTCCCCCTTTCTAATAGTTTATTTGTTGTGGAGAGCTGACAGATTTTCACCCTTGGTAGACATTCAGGTCTTGGACCAAAGCTCATCTCCTCTGGCCCTGATGCAGCCCTCACTCGCAATGCACACAAACCCCTGCCAGGGGCTGTCAGCACAGCTGGGCTTTCTCATGCTTTCTGATATAATGCACAGGCTTCCACTATCAGGTTATTTTAATTCAGTTTCTTATAAATAGATATCTTTTGTACTTGGTTTTGGTTTATTTTCCATCTTTGCAGTAGCTTTACAGATTTGCATTGTTTTGTAAACCCTCCTTGAAGTGATGTTCCCGCTCTGCCACTCAGGTCGGGCCTGGCTCTACCTGGCCATGAGCGAGAGCTCGCTGGAGAGCTACCTGCGGCTGTTCCAGGAGAACCAGGGTCTGCTGCAGAAATACTACTTCAAGTGAGTCTTTGCCCACATCACTCCTGTCTCCCCTCCTCACAAACTCAGGATCTGAGATCCTGTCTTTCAGTCATTTCTAGATGAGTGGACTGCTGCACTTTGAGCTAATATATGATTCATGAACTCATAAATGACTTGGTTGCTGTTTGTGTGTGTTACAGGAACGCTCTGGTGTGCAGCCATGACCATCTCGCACTCTTCCTCACTCTAGTTTCCGGGCTGGAGTTCATTCGCTTTGATTTGGAGCTGGTAGGTATAAGCTGATCAAGATTTATTCTGTCATCAATTGTTTCACTCTGGGGAAAAAAATAAGGAAATAAGCTAAAAGAGACTAGAGCCCTGTGACCTAGCTGCGTCAGTGTACTGTGCACTGTGGGACGTGCACAGACGGTGGTCTTTCTGTGGGTCTGTTATTCATAGTTCCGAGAGGTTCCATGCTGTTGTCATCCTGGAATTTGAGGATTTGGAGTTTTAGAATACTATAGCAGAAGCGTATTTTAGAGTTGTGCTCTGGAATGGAACTTTCTATCCTATTGTAAAAGGCAAAATGCCAGGTTGCTGAACCTGAACTTGTGCTCAGTCTTGATGGGCATTGCTGAGGTTCAGCCTGTGGTGTTTCTTTCTTCCTCTTTCTCCTCTGTCGCTCTCTAAATTGTTCTTCTCCTTATATGTCAGTACTCATTGATGTTCTATCCCTTTTCTCTTTTCTCCGCATCCCTTATTGTTAATGTTGCTTATTGCTCCCCTGTGTTTTTATCCTGGTGCAGGACGTCCCGTATCTGGATGTTGCACCCTACATGCCAGATTACTACAAGCCTCAGAACCTGCTGGACTTTGAGGAGCGGCTGCCCAGCTCAGACAGCCTTTCCTTGCATTCCTTCACCTCGCTGACATCCACCAACCTGGAGTGGGACGACAGCGCCATTGCTCCCTCCAGCGAAGGTATGCGAGTGAGGGGGGCCAGGGGGCACGGGTGATGACACAGTGTTCCAGGGTGAGAGAAGGTGGCACCAGAGCTGCCACCTGTCCATCCTTTGTGCTAGTTTTGATTTGCTCTTTTCCTTTTTTTACAGGTGGTTTGTCAGAAATGCTGAAAATGTTTATTTTATTTGATTAGATCAATTTGGTGATCAATATCAAAGTTTTGGTATTGATTTGTGGTATTGATTGCAACAAATAGTTTTCTCCTTGTCTGTTTTCACTGCAAGATGTTTTGTGAAATGTCATTTTGTTTGTTTGTTTTTTTATCCCCAAATGAAGGTCAATGTCAGGACGCGAAGGGAGAGCTGGAGAGAGGCGGAGGGGGGGGCTGGAGGGGGTTACGTCAGGGTGGGGGCTGAAAGCAGCACTAGCATGTACAGCACATTGCAATCATGGTTACGAACGTCACCATCTGGGCTCAATTCCCCTGACAGCTTCTGCAGGAGCTGTGCGGGCAGAGCTATTCATTGACCTACAGCAGCGCTCTCCCCACGGCTCCTCGGCCATCTTCATGGAGGTCGGCACTCTCCTTCATGATGCTCTGGCTGGGTGGGCCAGGATGGGCTGAGGGAGGCAGCTCTGTTGCTTGTTGCCAAATTGCCTTTTATGTAAACCCAGGCCTTATCTTGATTTGACTGTAATTGACATGATCAGAGAAAGTGCTGGGAAGCAATTCAAATTGTACAATAAGAGCACTTAGTGGTTCCCAGCTAGAAAGTGCCCCGTCTATTCTGGTTTCGGTTTCTGTTGACCTCTGAAGTGTCACGCCCTTTGTTGCTGTTTTCTGCTGCTGAGCAGGAGACGTTGGAATACAATCCAGAGGGTCAGAACCAGTGACGTAAGGAACTGCTTAGTGGGATAAATTAATAAATAATAAATTAATGGAAAATTTAAAATTGTGACCCGGTGCCCTGCCTGCCTTCAAACATTATTTTGTTTTTTTTTTAATACGTTTCTGCTGTCATTTTTCCATGCCTCCATTTTAATGTAGTCATGCCTGCCTTGGATGCTAACGTCGCGTTTTATCCCTCCTTTTTTTAGATTATGATTTTGGTGAGGTATTCCCTGTGATGCAGTCAATGCCCAGTGCAGACTGGGAAGGTGGGACATGGCTCTTTTTTTACCTAAACCCCCCCTCCCCCCCAGTGGTTGTCAAACTAAGGGGTGCAACAGTGTAGCATGTCCTGGGGTGTAAGGAAATCAAGGGAAACAGAAATGTTTTTAGAAGCACTGCAGTTAAAACACAACAATGAAGAGCTTCAGGTATATCTTATTACTACTGCAGGTTCCCACCGAGCAGTGGTCTGCACATTTGAAAGATTCTTCTTGGTGAAGGCTATGGTGACACAAGTTCTAACCATCTATTCTTGGTGTGCATGCTGATGTGTTAAAGCCCGATATGCATGGCACTAAACTAAGCCTGTCGTTTCAAACTGTATGTCAACACTGGTGAATATTATCTGTTTTCTCACCTCTGTTAACTTTCTTAGTGAACCTTGAATTTCTAGTGTAAGCTGATAACCTCTTAGTTTATTAGAATTTGTGCTGGCTTCTGACAGGGTTTTCTTGAAAATTACTATGGAGGAAAGGGCAGTTATACTGGTGATGTAAAATTTTAATGACTATTACATAGGGGGAAAAGCTATTTGACCAAACCAAATAGCAGCTCCAAAGTCTGTTACTTCAGTTACAGTGAAATGAAAGGTTCTAATTCTCATTCTTAGCTCCTTCCACAAAGGCCTTCAGTTCTCTCTTCACTATACCTGGAAGTTTACTGACTTAATGGAAACTAGTTCCCTTTATTGCGTTTGGGAACTCCCACATTTATCCCACCTGTGTTTGACTGACTCCAAGAAACTCCAGCTTTAATAACACAGGGAGTGTATGGTGGTAGCTGGGCTAGTTCTCAGTTCAGCTGTCACTGGTGTGTCACTGGTGTGTCACTGGTGTGTCACTGGTGTGTCACTGGTGTGTCACTGGTGTGTCACTGGTGTGTCACTGGTGTGAGTTGGAACAATCACTCAGGTATTCTTTAAGGATGTTACTGCAATTAATAATGGATATTAAAACATCTTTGATAACCTGAGTTTGCAGCAATCGGAAAGAGTTGTTCTTAATTCTAGAACCTGTTAATGGGTGTGGTGTCTTAAGTACTGTTTGTGGTTTGCACATTGTTCTTGTATTTCTGGATATGATTAGTTTTTAAAATGTTTATTGCAGTAAGTATGTTGTCAATTTGCAGTTTGAGCATGTGCTGTGAATATAGTCTAACTAACAACTGGAAGAACTTCATTTTATAATGCACACAACACCCTGCGTAATTAGAAAAAATGATCCAGTGCCTGGTACAGAAGCACTTGAAAATTACACTCTCTGACTCTGGTGGCTCTCTGTTAAGACATCGTCACAGGTGCTGGGGAGAGGGACCTTATCAGACTAGTGGAAAATGGAAGGGTGGAGATATCCATAAAGTTTGACAACCACTGCCCAACCTCGTCCACTGGCTCTCTGCTTCCTGCATGCTCATGCTGTAGCACCATGCCTGTGGCAATGCCCTGTGCCAGAGCTTTGTCATAGGGGTGCCAGAGGACCTGTAGAGCCTTCAAGCTATTGGAGCTCTGCAGTCTCATGGCGTGTCAGGCAGCAGGGCCTCAAAGCTGGGGAATAAGAAGTAAGGAGCTGGTGACAGTGCGCTCTAATCAAGGACTGCTGATTGATTTTCTACATTTGTGGGTGCAGAGACAGAAGCCCTCCCCATCCTGCCGCCCCTGTCTGGGGTCCTGACTGCCATCCCTGACCCTGCAGTGGACACAGCCTGGTTGTGTTAAAGATAATTGTCAGTTCAGTATGGCTTCTGTTTTATTATTTTTAGATGACAGTTGTGCGTAGAATAAAAGATAAAATTTGCTTCTATAAAGAGAAATATAATTCCATGCAGGCATACTGGGACTGTAGCCAGGTTAACTCAGGGGGCTGCTGGGGTGCAGGCTGCAGCCACTCTGGGCTTCTTTTCTGTGGGTTTCCTGTGTTTCGGAGGTATTATTTTGAGTGCACCTGTAGTGTTGCAGGTAGGCTTGATCAGGGCTGTTCCTTCTGCTGTCTTCTGTTTCCTTTTACTGCAACTCCTCTACTGCTGGTCTGGGTCTCTTCACTTTCAGACACCAACAGGCTCTGGCACCTGTCTGGAGTTACTTCAGGGTTCTGTCCTTTCCTATGTTGATATGTCACCAGCTACTGGTGTTATGCTCCAGCAGATGTGATTTGTGCTGTTCATTTCAGCATTTCTATAAGGTGAAGGTGGAGCTGAACACAAGCTTGCGATACTGTATGTGGCTGCCCTTCCTGCTTTCCAAAGCTGTTACTGTCACTCAAACTTGCTCTCCAGTTCACAAGTTCATGTGGGCTGACAGGGCTCTTGCTCTTGGGTGTTTTCTGATGTGGTCCTGGCGATTTCTCTGTGCTGTCCACTAGGTGCAGGGATGTGTATGATGTTTAGACAGTTAATCTGAACTGGACAATATTTCTACCTCTAAATTCTTTTTTTATTCAATAATGAAATAGTTGACCTAGATACTTACTTATGACTTTTTCATTTCATTTGTAACATTTGGAATTTGACATAGATCCTGGAATGTTTTGTAGTGCCTCATACCCTCATTTCTAGAAGATTAATGCATTCCATTGTGTTTCTGAACCGTAATTAACTACAGTCATGTCAGTCACTCTAATGAGGTGAGATGGCATTTCCTCGTTTGTAATCACTCTAAGGAAAGCCTTATTCCTTACTCTAAGTGCAGATTTACCTCCTGGAGATCTGGATGTATTATAGATGCTACAGAGTTAAGACCTGTAGCATGCACGTTCATTTTCCTGTTCTTGTAAGCACCTGTGCAGTTACATTGAGTGGTTATTTTTCCTGCAAACGACCACACTGTAAGTAGTCTGTGACTGTGCAGAATTTCAGTTAAATTGAGTCACTTGCAAGTGTAAAGTCGACGGATGTGTTTCTCATGGCTGCAAGCTGGGAAAAGAGGACCTGCAGGCCGACTCCTTCCACCTGCCCTCTTCGGGCAGCAGGATCGCGGTCCTCCCTGACTGCTCCGCAAACCTGCGTGAGCCTGGGAGACTGCAGGGGGCGCTGTGCTGCTGGGAGCCAAGAGAGCCCTGCCTGATCAATCCCACGCCTTCCTCGATGGAGCTCAGCCTGTGGTGCCGTCCCTGGAGTAACACAATCGCAGTGGGATTGTGACGGACCCAGGCTCGAACCCTTGCATTTGAGCAAGCACCTCTGCTGCTTGAGCCACTCATGTAAAGTGCTCTAAGGGGTCTCTTTAAAACTCCTTAGAAATTTGAAGCCCTGGTTTCCCTGCCTCAAGTGAAGTAGTATTTCCTACTTCTCTGTCTGAGAAGATCGATTATTCTGTCCTGTATTTAATTTTCACATTTCTGCACTAAACATGGGCTGGCGCTAACACTGTCAGTCAGTGCGTCTGTTACTAACCCTGCTTTCATAACGTGTGATATCTGTCCCCATAACGCCCGGTGAAATGTTAAAAGAAAATGTTATTCCAGTTCTGGGACTGGGCTCTGATAAATACACAGGCAGAGTTAAAATGAAGTCAAAGTTCAGATACTTGTGATGTTATTTTTGCTATTTCTCTGATGCTTTCAAGAAGAATTACAATTAATATTATTAAAAATAAAATATTTTCTATAAGACGAGCAGTCTGTATTTTAGTTGAGGCTTCATTAGTGCAGTTTACACTTGGGATGTCAGACAGGGATGCAGCTGCAGTGCCCTCCTGTATCTGACCAGAGGCTGTCTGCTACTCCTGTCTCCACGCAGAGGGAGACCTGACAGACCCAGCCAGCTGCCGGTCAGTGGCCTGTGAGCCGCTGGTCAACAGGGCGGCGACACGCAGCCCAACTCTGCGGATCAACCCTTTCAATGAGGACTCCGACACCAACCCTTCCACCGACACTACACCTGTGCACAGCGCACGCTGTGAGGCTTTCGAGGACGACGCAGAGAGCACTGGCACCGATCTGGAAGTCATCAGGTAAGGAACAGTGCCCCCTATGGATACTGAGCCACACTGCACTCTGGCACAGCTAAGTGGACCTGTCAGAGGCTAGTGGCATTAAATGCTGACACTGCATAGATGAGCTTTACGTGTATTGTTTACAAATCCTAAGCTCAGTCTACCTTTTCTGTTTTTTTAAATCCTGCCTTTTCAGAGATTGGTTCCTTCTGTTTTATCTTTATAGAAAGTATTTTGTGGCTTACTGTAACATGAATGACTGAAAATATGAGTCATTCCTTTGTCCACTACATCGCTCTGAGCACACCGGAAACCTAGAAACCAAATGAAAAAACTTGCTGTCTCTGATCAAGGAGTTAAACGTCAGCTGGTAGAGAAGGTGGGGATTTGTGTATTTTCATTGCTGGTGCCTATAAATGCATTGAAATTCATCTGATGCTTCATTGAAATGAATAAGGGTTGGTGTTTAAAATGGCTGCCTTATGCTCAAGCCAAGAAATGGGGAAAGTAGTAGACCTCTCTATACCTACATCCAATCCTGCACTTGCCTCCTGTTCCTGTGAGTGACGGCGCAGGGAGGCTGACAGTAACTCTCCCTGCAGGCTTGCCAAGAGGAGAAAGCCGGGCAGGAAGCGCCAAGGGAAGGGGAGGTTGTCCTCTGCGAGCACCAGCCACCTGCCTGTCGGACACAGGCCCCCAGAGCACGAAGGCCGGGGCAGTGGCGGGCCTGTGGCCGGGGCAGGTGGGCCCCAGGATGGCCCTCTGGGCTCAGGGCAGGACGGGGCCAGGGCAGAGGAGGGGCAGGAGGGAGAAGAGGAGGAAGGGGAAGATGAGGGAGAGGGCCTTCTGCGGCTTCCTGAGATGACGGACACCTCTATGGAGAGCGTAGGGCAGCCCCTGCGGGAGGTCATGGAGCAGCTGGAAGGGACTCTGGACTGCAAGACTTGGGAGCCCAGAGCGGGGGCCCAACCACCCCCGCAGCAGCCCTTTCGGAGCGACTCCGAGGGTGAGCCTCCAGACCCGCCCCCTGCCTCCTCTTTATCCTTGGCCCAGGAGCCCCACGCCCTGCAGGCCTCTCCGCCTCGCGACTTCTACCGCTTTACCCCAGAGAGTCCAGGCCCTGCTGCCACAGGTGGTGGCCACGATGACCCTGCAGGGCCTGGCCAGCCGGCGCATGTTCATGGTGGCCATGAAGCTGAGGGAGCGGGAGAGGCGCCGACAGGAAAGACACTCGGACTCCTAGGGGAGCGAGGGGAGGAGGAGGGACGGGCGATGCCTTTGCAGAACGGCTCGGCCCTGACGCCAGAGCTGCCCCTGTCTGGCCGGGAGGAGGAGGAACAGCCACCCAGCCCCTCGGAGACCAGCCATGCCGCTGAGTTCAGGTGCAAATTCAAAGTGTTTTCACACGGCTCGATGTTAATTTGTACTTTACTTCCAGTTTTCTCTTTATTTTAGTATTTTTATGTGATTTTTTTTCCCCTTTGAAATGTTGTATGTCGACATCTTAAGATTCAAATGGACACAATGATTTTAAATGTGTTAATTGCAGTTAAGTGATGGGATAACCACGTCAATTAAATTGTTAGACCCATTTGATCCTGTATTTGACAAAATGTTGTTCTCTGTTGAACTTTGTGAAGATCTAAAGTCAAAAGCAGAACGAGTTATGTGGAAGTTACTCAAATTAGCTGCATGTTCTCCTGTCTTTCGGCCTGTGATGGGGATCATATAGTAGTTTGTCAAGTTCTTTCCCTTTCTTCCTTTTCACCTAAAAAGGTCCTGCATTCCAAGGTTGTATGTGCGCATTATGATCTGTAATGTAAATACACTTTTGCTGTCGTCACATAAGGCACCATGTCTATAACAAACAACCCTACACCCTTTGGCCTCCCCTTAAATATTCTGATTCTCAGAGTGAGTATCTGCCCTCGATTGTATATGCGTTTGAGAACTGCTGGGATTTTATTAAAGGTTCGCTCGTACAAAGAGTTTAGAATTGTCTCTTACAATAGACAGAACCATATCTAACCTCACAAATAATCTTTTTAATTTTTTTTGGTTTTAAAATGCTATCTGTTGGCAACTGACATTTGAAAAGAGAGTCCCAGGCATAGTGATATGAAGATAGTTTTAAAAGGAAAATCACCCTTTTTCAGGTCCTGTTTTTAAGAGCATTTGATCCTCATGAAATTATTTTAAATTGTTCTTGATGGTATTTGCAGATAAGTCTGCCTCAGCTTGCAGTGTTGTGCATTAGCTTGATGTTTCTGATGTTCCAGAGTAAAAAAGCTGCTCTTGTTCTGTTCAGTTCTTTCAGACTCTGCAGTGAAAACGGCACTTGCCAAGGTCCCTCTCACTTTGACATGAGATTTTTACCACTTTTTAATTTGTTTTTGAACCAAGGGGTCTCCTCAGTAACAGGAGGCACTATGGTCCTGAGGGTCACTGCTAGAGAAGTCGGCTCGTGCCAGTCAAACTCGAGCATTCGCTCGGATTGCAAAAGATTATTCTAACATCTTTGGCTTACTTTGTTAAATATGGCTCATGCTAATTATATCTTAAAAATTTTGTCCTGATTAAAGAAATGGTAATGAAATATCCAGCTCATAGTGTTGAATTTTTAGACAAGAGGTTGGCTACCCTAATTCAGAGTGTAATCAGTTACAGTTGGAATGTATTGGCAAGCGTGATGACGATCAGTGGTCACTGTATTAACGGACTGTTGTCTTGCAGGGTGGACAATAATCACCTGCTGCTGCTGATGATCCATGTGTTCAGAGAGAATGAGGAACAGCTCTTTAAGGTAAAGGGAAGAGATTTCGTTTAAGTGAACAGAGGCGCCTTTTACAGATCTGTAGAAACATACGGTATGAGCAATGTTTTCATTAGGAAAGTTCTCATTACTAGGGTGAATTAGGCTTAAATGTGTTTTTCTTTCATTCTGATGAATTGGGCTTTGGTAGGGGAAAAAAAAGTCTTTCTAACCCTGGGCTTGAGTTACTGTGTTAACACGTGGAAGACAAGATAAGATCACTTTATTATATACAATTTCTTGCATTTGGAATTCATCTTTTCACATACCCCAGCTTGCTCTCCATGAGATACAGACACACAAACATGTAGAGAGAAGCTTGGGGTCAGAGCGCAGGGTCAGCCATTGTACAGCGCCCCTGGAGCAGATGGGGTTAAGGGCCTTCCTCAGGGGCTCAATGGAGTAGGATTCCTCTGCCGGCCGTGGGATTTGATATGATTTGATAGATAGTACTTGAATTTGGAGTTACAGATCTTAACGGCAATGTCAGTGCTTAGCACATGTAAAGTTCATGTGTTTCTTTGCAGATGATTCGGATGAGCACAGGGCACATGGAGGGAAATCTACAGCCACTGTACCTCCTGCTTACAGACTGCTACATCTACTTGCTGCGGAAGGGTAATGGGAACTCTCTGCACTGGCACTGACTATTGACTAAAGTATCACTTTAATGTGATGGGACCTTCACTAAGGTGGGGGTTCTTCTCCACAGTTCTCGTTAAATTCATAGACTTTAGTCAATAGAAGGGTATAGTCACATAGCTTGTTTCCTGTTGACAGGAGGTGATAGCAGGACTGGTATGATGGATTTGTGTCATACTAGTCATAAAGAAATCAGTAGTATCCCCGCAGTCAAGAGACAGCCAAGGACATCTACAATCCAATTGAAATAACCAAGAAGAAATGCTCTGAAAACTTTGGTGTTGATTAAGGAAGACAATAAACTAGAACTACCAGCATAGGCTGCGATCCCTATGTGTTAAAAAACAAACTTTTTAATGATCATATGTGGACAGAATTCTATGTTGTTTTACCAGCATTGAAGTGATGAGTGACTGCTAAACCACCACTCTGATTTGAGTTATGAGATTCTTCGGCATAGCCATTCCCAGTGGAAGTATAGTTCGGAAAATATAGGCCTTTGGTAGATCCCTTATTTTAGGTAGACAAAAGAATTTCACCTTTGGTCAATAATAGTGAATCATTCATCCAGCATTTCCTCGTGGGGGTAGCCTAAGCCTAACCTGGCAAACAGAGGGCGAGAGGTGGGAAACATCTTGAACCGGATGCCTGTCCATAGTAGGTAAAATAGAGAATCTGAGGCTTCCAATTAATGATTGAGCATGAAAGACTGGGGGTTTTTCAAGGATCCTTACCAAAGGGAGCTAGATCTAGAGACGACATATGGCAGCCTCGGGAGGATGGTGTAGACAGCTCTGATCATCATTGTGACCCTCAGGTGAATACAGATGCTGAATTCTGAGGAGACAAGATGTAATTTATATTGTATTATTGTTACTACTATTATTAATATGCTGCAGCTCTGGACTGCAACCAGAGCCCCACTACTTCTACAAAACAATTGTGTAGAATTCCAGAACTGCAGCAGTGATCATGCAACACAATAACTGAAACAAAAACAGATCACATTACAAGTTTGCATAAAAATACCACTGGTGGAATGAAGGTGTACTGCCAGTCCAAAGCACATACAGTATTCTCCACTGGCAACAGGCAGTCTCCTGTGGGGCCAGAGGTTTAAGTAAAGAGGCCTGTAGCAGCACAACTGGGCCAGGATCAGGTGACAGTGGTCACAGTCCTCCTGGGCCCAAGAGGCAAACAGTGAACCAGGAACTGTAGCAGTATCCACAAATTCCACAGTGGTGGTCCCTGTTAGCCAGGGAGCTGGTGCTGGATGCAGGACACCGTGTGGGGGCACAGTGAACCAGGGCTGCCCTCTCTGAGCCGGACAGTGAGGGAGCTCTGGAGTCGCACAGGAAGAGCAGTGAAAGGGGAGAGGCGAAGGGACCCAATTGCTGGGGAAAAGAACTGAAAACCACTGATGGAAAAAAAATGAGTAAACCACGGCAGAGAAATGGCAGCCAAGCTCTGCCAGCACCTGGCACCCTCACACCTGGCAGGATTCTTGCTCTCTGTACATCACTGTCCTCAGTGCTCACCCCTCTCCCCAGTGAGGCTCCTGCCCCAGAACCTTTTGCTTTTTAGATTTCTTTTTGTCAGCACTTGTCAGTTAATGGTTGCAAAACATAACTACAAACAGCCTGACCTTGCTGGAGAGCAGCAGGGCAGCATGGTGCAATACTGATTGCTGACCGATGTTCTTACTTTCTTCGCTGGAGAACACACTTCTTATAGCCATGCCAGACATCCCATGCACTTCCTTAGGAAATAACTCTTTGTCCTGGCTGGCAAACTTCATCTTCTGCTGAGTGACTGTCATGCTAACTCTTTGAACACATATCCCCAGTATCAGAAGGGCTAGGGGTATCCCACACTGGGTTAATAAGTGATTTTCATTTCAGGAGCAGCAGAGAAGCCTTACACAGTGGAGGAGGCTGTGTCTTACAACGAACTGGACTATATCTCTGTGAGTGGTGGGCAGAATGCACAAAGCACTTAGAAATGTTCTATGATGGGAGAGTGCCAAGACAGTCAGGGTAGCTTCTCTCTAGAAGTGACTGAGTGATCAGTATTCCCAGCTTTAATGCTGAGACTTAACCTGTGTGTTTGTGATGTGTTCATGGTTTCTCTTTTCTACAAGATCCTACCAACAACAGTTTTATATTTTTTGCATTTAGATTTGAAGCACATTTTAGCAGTGGGTCGGTTTCTGCTTGAGAGGTGCTGTCAGCCAGAAGATTTTGAAATGCCTATGTACATGATCCTTTCTGCAGTCTGCTGGCTCAAAGATCAAGGCATGTGCTCTGTGTGGTACATGACCATGTCTTTTCAAAGACTATGGCATCTCCGTCTTCTCTTCCAGGTGGGAATGGACCAGCAGACTGTCACCTTGGTTTGCACTAACAGACGCAGGCAGTTCCTCCTGGACACGGCAGACAAGTCCTTGACAGAGTGAGTCCTGCACTCCTGACTCTTATAAACTTTTCTTTCATTTGCTTCAGTGTGTGGCTTCTTGCTTTTTGTTTTTTATGCTCATTGTTCAACTGCTTTACTGGTTTCTTCCTGGAATTTGTACTTACATTTGGTTCAGTTTAACCGCGTCTAGGTTTCCTAACCCTAACGGGGTTTCTCTTTGCCGATCTCTCAGGTGGTTCCTGGCCTCCCTGAAGTCGGCCATGATCAAGGGCTGTCGGGAGCCCCCGTACCCCTCTGTGCTCACAGATGCTACTATGGAGAAGCTGGCCCTGACCAAGTTTGTGGTACAGGAGTCGCACTGTGAGGTAGGTTGGTTACTGGTACTCTCAGGTCAGTCGGACTCCTAATAGACACTGTCACACAGATTAGAAGACTCTCATGAAATCTCCTGGAAACAGTCTGTGCTTGCTTTTTTCTTGGGATTTTCAGTTGTTTTTTCTGTGTTTGAGCACTGTAGGCATCAGAGGTGTGCATCAAGCTGTACTCGCTGGTACACTGGGAGGATCCCCTTGATACATCCGGGGATCACGATGCTGGACTGCACAACCACCCTGACAGTTCTGTGGTCAAAGAAGGGCCTCTTCTATACCGTGCTGGAACCTCCTATCTTGGCAAGGAGGTGTGGAAGAGCTGCTACCTGGTTCTGAGGTAAATATAGTAAAGCCAGCTGGTCCTCAGGTGACTCTGAGGTAAAAAATGCTCTGACTTGTTTTCATACAAATATGTGTTGTCCTTACCCAGTTGCCCATGGTGTGGAGTGCGTGTGATATCATGGCTCCCAGTGCACAGTAGTCTGATACAGGTTTTTCAGGCTCCTCAATCTGACTCCCTGTACACAGCTGTTGTCTTAGTTTGTGCAGCTTGTAAATGAACCTGCAACTCAAAAACATGAAGTGGATTAAACTAATGGGCACCTTCCCTGAGCTCTGCTTACTTTGCTGTCTTGCCTTGCCAGCAATGGGATATTGTTCCAGTACCCTGAAAGGACAGACGTGACACCTCTGCTCTCTATTAATATGGGGTAAGACTGCAATGAGGCCCTCAACTACAAGCAATGTCCTCGCATAGGTCCTCCATCTTTGTGTTATGTCTCTCTCTGCATAGTCTTTTATTTCTTACTTTTTTAGGTATTGATATTCCATATTTTTGTATTGATACAGAAAATGAATTACAAAAGTAATTCTTATTGTAGAAAAGGGTAACAAACAAATACAAGTTAACTTTAATCCCAGTACTCCTCTTTCCCCCCAGTAAAATAGGAAATTTCCCACATGAAGCTTACACATCCAGACCATACCCCTACTACGTCATACAGCTGTGTTCAAGCTCCTTGTCTCAGTGTGAAACATCTGTCTTTCTGATTCTCTCTGTCTTCTCTGGCTCCAGGGGGCAGCAGTGTGGGGGGTGTCGGCGTTCCAACACCACAGAACAACTCCACTCGTTCCAGGTCATCCTGACGGAGCGCCCCCCTCTGGAGCTCAGTGCAGAGAATGAGCAGGACATGGCTGACTGGATGCTGTACCTGTGCCAGTCGGTGTCTAAAGGGGTAAGAGCTGTGGGCAGAGTGGTCGTCTAGCAGTATCCCAGGCAAAGCCCAAATCTGGCCCTGCTCCTGCCGGTCATTGTTCATGGGTGTTCCCAGATGCTTCAGGTCAAACAAGAACATTAGAATCATATTCAACATAATGTTCAGTAATTAACCATTGAAATGTTACTTTTCACACAAAAATCTTTTTTCTGAATGTATCTTCTCTGATTTTAAGCACATGTTGAAACTGTTGATCTGGAGAGGTGGTGTAGGATTGTGGGTTATGCTTGATGCCCAGAGAGGTTTTTCCATGAATAGTCTAGCAGTATGGGTGTGGAGCATTATTGACACTTTTTAATTAATCTAGATTTATTAAAGAGTATATTCAAAGTTTAAAATATTGGCAGTTCTCAGTTTAAACAACAGATCTGTTCCTGAAAGATGCGGCATAGCTCACACATGTAACTTTAAACAGAGTTTTGCTTAGTAATACATGTAAACAGTTAATCAATTTCAAAATTGTATTTTAAAATGTGAAGGGAATACTGTTGTTATGGGTGGTAATGAATGATGTGGGAAACACTGAAGTTGTGTCCACAGCACAGCTATTTTCATATCTTTTACTCCCAGTGAGCATTTTAAATGCTATTTATTTTGATGTCTTGTAACATTTTTAATTTTAAATTAGTGAATGTTAAAGTTGACTTAAAAAAAAATACTTTATTTTATTTTCAAATTTCTTACACTGAATTTTGTTATGTTTTTTTTAATGCAGTACCTTTGATTTACGCTCTTACCGAGTTTATTTTAAATGATAACAATAAAAAGACAAGATGCAGACTAAGACCGTAAAGAGGTGCTGAGTAAGAGCGAGTCCATGGGAGAGCTCTGAGACGGGCTGTGCCCAGCTGTCTGTCAGCCGAGCTGCTCCTTATCTCTGTGTGCAGCTCGGTCGCTCTGCCACGTGGCTGGCTGTGCCAACGTGTGTTTAATTGAGAACTCATTTCTTCTAAATTAAGATTTATTGTATATTCTTCAGGCTTGTTGAACCAGAAATGAGCAAATTAAGAGCTTGTAAATTGATACCTACCTGTACCTTTCTAAATTCTTTCCTTGAAAGTAATTAAAACATTTTTTTCTAAGTATCCTGCACCCTGATATGCTGATGGTCAGTTTTACTCTCTTCCTGTCAGGTTGTCCCCCAGGATGCAGCACCCACCCCATGTATCCCCTGCTGCCTTGTGCTGACAGACCGGAAGATGTTTGTGTGTCATGAGGACTGCCAGACAAGCTTCTTTCGCTCCCTGGGCAGTGCGGAGCTGGCTGATGTCAGGGCAGTGAGAGTGGAGAGTGATCGCGAGTACTGTGTCATAGTGAGTCTGTCTGGCTCTAACCTAATGCTAACCTACAGCATTTTACTCTTTGCTTTCTATAGTGATACAAAGCTCATTTTGGCAATTCTTTAGTATTGTAAAAAGGAATCCTGCTTTTGTTTGACTATATTTCTGTATATTTAAAACATTTCTGTGATGTCACTGTTACTGAGTCCCTTACCACAACAAACTACCAAATGCTCAAGAGAGAGTATTATCTGTTTAATACATTCATGATTGTATGTAAAATAAAAGTTCAATCCATTAGGATGTACATTTTCTGGCCTATGCTTTAGTTTTCCAGAAGGTGTCTGTAAAGTTCCTCATGAAAGACTTATTAATATATAGGCAGCAGGCATTCAAGAAAATGTGTGTACTTCGATAAAGAACTAGCTAATAGTCAGAAATCACACAGATCTGCAATAGGACATTGTTCTTAATCCTCCGTTCTGACACACTGGCATACACTCTGGTGTAATAATTAAACCAAAGTTTGCAAAATTTGCAGATGCAAATCGGGGATTATTACACACTGTTGAAGCTGCAAAGGAACTTCATTTAGACAGAATGCAAAAGATGTGCAGAGTAACATACAGGTGGCAGAACAAACTATAAATGCAAGATGGTGTGATGTGCTTAGGGCTGTACTAGTTCTTTTGCAATAGAGATCATATCTAGCAATGAATTATGTCATTGCCATTGAACATGGTACCATTAGCCTGTACAGGCCAAAGCCAGGGTTAAACAAATGGTTCAAGCTGACTGTTCCTGTATGTCCTAAAGTGAAAGCCTCACGCTTTGTTTTCTACCTCTCCTCCCCTTGCACTCTGTCTGGATGCAGGAGTTTGCTGAGGACAAGAAACAGTTCCTGCCACCCTGGGTACTGTACTTCAGCTGCAGTGTGGAGAGGGACCGGGTGCTGGGGGCGCTGGAGACCACCTGGAAAGAAATCTTCCAGGTGAGTGTGCTGAACAGACAGAGAAGCAATCGGTTATCGATTGATGCTTTTGTAAATAAAATTAAATTATTCAATCTGCCTTCATTTGCATATAGAATCCATTTTAAGGTCTTTATTATCCTATTTCTGATGCTCTTTGTGTTCTCTCTCTTGGCTTGTATGCTTTTCGTTCGGTTCTTTCTTGTGGCTGCATCTCGGATCCGCCTTCTGGCTCAGGTGGTGCTGCCCCGGCAGGAAGTGTTGGACCCTGCCGTGCAACAGAAGTGCGGTGATGCTCTTTCTCTGATCAGGAGCGCCTGGCAGCGCAGTGATAGCCTGAGGAGAGGACGCTCGGAGAGAGAGCCCTGGTGCTGAGAGGCACAGGAGCTGCAGGTGGAGATATCCGGCTGCCGTTTTAATGAAGAAAGAATTCAGACTCGGCAACTGAACAGCCTGTGAGAAAGGTGTCATGTTCTGGAGGAGTGAACTCTTCCAGCCCTGTGACTGAGCAGACCTCTGAGATGCAGACTTGCGGAAGCTCTTTGGACACAATGCCTGAATTCACTAATTCTGTTGACCTTTTCTGTTTGTGCCTCACCTGAAAGGCCTGGAGCAGGACACCTGACCGTTGGAGGGGCAGACCCTTCCCGAGCAAAGTCTCTGGAACATGGACACAGACTCTGCAGCTTTTAACTCCTGCTTTTATTTTGTAACTTTTACTTCATGGCAAGTGTGTTCCAGACGAATGTCTTGTTTAAGCTATTGTCTCGCGTCTCTCTCAGTTAATTTTATCTGAAGAGACCATGTGTTTGATGTCTGGTCAGTGTTTCATGTTTTTTTAAAAGTAATTCAGCTTTTATTTTAAGGTACTCTTTTGAGTTAACTCAGGCTGCATTTTTTACATATCACTGCATTGCGAGGGGAATGTCGCTGGTGGACGCAAAATATTTTGGTGTCATTCTGAAAGTGAGGCTCATTTGCAGATGGGGTCCAGCAGGAAATCTACAATATTTGTTAGACTTGCCAGCGGTGGGGTTAGGGTTAAAAAAGATCATTTGATCTGTTTGATAAATGATGTGTTGAATGTTTGATCTCAAGTGGTAGCTGCTTAATTCTAGAAACTCATCCTAGGCTTTTTCCTTTAATAATCTCAAAAGTTATCTTTAGCATCTTTAGCCAATGGATGGATAATTGCACCAGACCTCTGTACTGTAAGTACTGATTATTAATTGGAAGATATTCAATGATTAAACCAATAGTTATTAATGTTACACACAAGATGTGACTGTCGGGCCGCAGACTGCATTGGGGTTGAAGAACTGGATGAGTTTCTTAACTAATGAAAGACTAAATGATTAAAGTTGCTCAGGATCAGGACTGACCTTCCTTTGATTATATTTTTATGGTAGTTTTAATCCCTATTTGTGCCTGAAATTTAAGAGATGTTAAAGCCAACTTCTATTTTTTTTTCTTTTGGCTGTATGTGAAGTGCCTAAAAAGTCATCACTGTTTTTGGGCCAATTGTCTGGGGTGTACATATTTATAATGTATGTTCTGATGCTAATTTCACAGCACTTTTTTTTAAACCGAAGAACATTTTGAAGCATTTAAGCAACATCGCCCAGCTTTATCGTTCTGCTTTCCTATTATGAAAACCTGCTGAGATGTGAGATATCATGCTCTGGTGCTTGGAGTGGGGGCAGTGCAGGACAGTTGCCTGAAGCTCACACTCCAATGTCCTGGCACCCACTTGCTTGAGGGTTTATAAAACTCACTGAAACTGCATATTTATCTCGGACCTGCTCTGTTAAGAGGCATTGACAGTGGAATCACAGGTGTACATGGTAAATGATGTTGGTAATAAGATCTCTTGTTTATTGAAATCTCATGCAGCCTAGACAGCAGTGGTTAAGACTTGCAGTGAATGAAGACATGGGGTATGAAGACTTATTTCTGCGACACAATAATTGGGGGAATTAAGTTACAGTACTTATATATATTTTTTAACTTTACTGTTACTCTAAGGAGATGAAGAACCATACGTGTTTATGATTTAACTTGAAAAAAGCAGACTTATTTGTGCTGCTATGGGATACTTTCTTCATCTAACATGTTTACAATACTTAAATAAAAATGATAGGCCTAATGTAAAGAACTAGACATCAGAGTTTGACGTTTTTAATTGAAGCGTGTACTGAGGGTTCCTGGGACAGCCTTGCCACTTGGCCTTTTCTGTTCTGCTGAAGTTGTCCAAGTTGCAGTTCTATGTTCTGGTATTTTACATGCCACTTGTCTTTGTCCTAGTGCAGAGCTGCGATTAAGCAGCTGCTGTATGTAATGTTTGAACCCCACCTAAACATGTTCACGGACAGGTAATGAAGAATTGTAAATGTTTTTGGCTTGAAATTTTGTGAACCTTTTAGCAGTCTCCTGCATTCAGACTGCTATCGCCTACGGAGTAGCAGCTTTGGCTGTTCATCGCACGGCTTTAATGTACCGACCCATGGTTAGTTGTGTGATCTTCAGATGCAGGGTCTGTGAAGTATTATCTGGAGCCAGTGGAAACTGGTGCAGGCTGGCAGACTCAGGGTCCCCCCTTGCGCCTCAGCGCGCATGTGGTCCAGGCCAGCACTGCAGGAAGCAGAGCCTCTGGGGAGCCAGGAAACTGCGGGTCCAGTACTTGGAAAGGTCATTCTGTGTGTGAGAGTATTTATCCTGGAAAGGCATTTGAAAGAAATAAAAACTGATGTGAAACAAGCTGTGGACTACTTTTGATATTTGAAACTTTTCTCACTCAATAGCCTATAAATATATATTCTTGCACATAAAATTACAGTTGCTTACATTACAGTCATGGATTCATGTTTGACTAATGTGTGTAGTTTTATAAAAAACGTTGTATTTAATGACGAAAGGGTTTACAGTACAAACAACATAACCAAAACAGGAATAAAAATTCCCTTCATCCTTTCCTTCATATGTGGCTGCTTTCCCCAGCTATTTATATAATGTCTAATTTATATCTATAAAAATCTTTTTCCAGGTTATATTGCTGTGATAGATCTTCAAAGATTTTCAGATGGTCTTTTCTCATCATAGTGCATGTTGCCGTGTTCCCTTTCATAGCCCAAATCTTAAACTGTGTCAGATTTCCCAGAGGGGAAATCTGAATTAGAAACTATCCATTTTAATAGTTTTACCTCTCTCTCCAAGTCACAAGTTTTTATGATCTTAAACCAGATAACAGAAATTACAGCTTTATTCCAAGAGGATGGTAAATGCCCTCCACCTCTTATCCAGTGGCAAGTGGATAGGAGCAGGGGAGCCAACTGTTTTTGAATGTCTTGTAAAATTCACTTGGAAAGCCATCTGTCCCTGGTTCTTTATTAGATTTAAGAAATAATATTAATTTCCATCTCATTTATTACTCTAGTTGCACCAGTGATGTAGTGGTATCATGCAAGATTCCCATTCTTGTGACCTGGGTTTGATTCCCGGCTGGTGCATAAAAAATGATGTTGTTTGGGGCGGAGCAGTGGCTCTGTGGCTATGGATCTGTGCCTGTGGCTAGAAGGTTGCCGGTTCAAATCCTGCAGCCGGCAGAGGAATCCTACTCCACTGGGCCCCTGAGCAAGGCCCTTAACCCCAACTGCTCCAGGGGCACTGTACAATGGCAGACCCTGCTCTCTCCCTGTCTGTGTGTCTCATGGAGAGCAAGCTGGGGTATGCGAAAAGATAATTCGTACTGCAAGAAATTTTAAAGGGTTAATAAAGTGATGTTAAAGTTTAAAGTTAGTTAAAACAGATGTAAAGGCGTATCGACAATTTCTACATGCAAGAACATTGAAGCATGTATGGACCTTATCAGCATCTAAATTGTTTAATCTATTTTCATAAAATGTACATGTATTATTGCATGTACCCCTGACAATACTCTTAATATGTTATATATAATCGTGTTTTTTGTTATAATTAAATATAAAAAAGACGCGAGTCGATAATGTCAAAAGGAAGTCGCCCGCAGGGGATATACATCCAAATCAAAACAAAATTTTCTCCCCTCACCAATATTTTGGAAGAAAAAGACCCCAACTTCTTCAGCACTTAAAAACACATGCGATCTGGTCGCCATTTTGCCGACCCCCCCAGGAAATCTAGTCTCTATAGTTCTCTGGGCTGCACTGTTTTGCAGATTTGATTGAACATCAGATTTTTTTTATTACAATTGCAGCGTATTTATCGTGTCATGGATTTATGTCTCTCTTACAAGACGGACTCGGCAGGAGCTGTTTCTTGCATTCGGGAGTGAAGCTGGTCTGGAAAGAGACCCGCGTTTGAACAGTTTTACAGACGGAAGAGCAGATCTTCAGACTCTTTCTAAATGGGACAATATGACAGCGGTGACGACCTGATCTTTCTTTACCTGTTGAACCTGTTTGTGTAAAGAACATAGTATTATGCACTCCTGATTGTATTTTTTTCCTTGGTAGAAGTAATGCGCTTCCAAATGGAAGAGAGTCAAATCTTAAACACATGAGGGCACGTCTCCAAACTATTACTAAATGTCACAACATGAAAGCTGTACGTACCTTATCTTTATTTGCCTGTATAATGTACCCCGGTGATCTGTAATGTACTCTTGTGTGCATTGAATGGCATTTTTATTATTGCAATATAAATGTTAAAGAAGAGAAAACACAATAAGGTCGAATTAATCAACAACGTGAGCTGACTAGCCATTAAACAAACTCTCCAGCGGCGTCTAGAGTTCGGTAATAACTACCTGCCCTAAAATACGGTTTTCCAGGAGACCGCAGTGCTTTTAAAAAAAATGCATAACAGAATAACAAAAATTACAATACAAACAAGAGTACACATAACAGTTCAAGACAAAAAAATCGTCAGGGGTACATATTACAACATAAATTCAAGTTATTAAAAAAGATTAAACATTAAATAAAAAATTGTCCGCACCGCTTTCATATTTTTGCACTTCGAAATAGTCTGCAAATACCCCCTTACATCCATTTTAAAATGCTCAAACAAAAGGTTCTTTCCAGACCACTTCATTTTATGTATATAATAACTTTCCATTATAATAATTAAATTCATTACAAACGATATTTTAGGAGCCCACAATGCTTGACAAGCAGAGAGCGGAACCACATCGACCTCAGCTTTTTTTTTTTATTATTTATGCTTAACAAAACAACAAACATAACAATACAAACAAGAGTACATATAACCACATCGACCTCAGCGACGGACCGGCTGTGCGCCGTCGCGCTAATTATGCGTCAGATCCAGTTCCGGCGCAGCTATGAGACGTACAATAAAGGCGTGAGCAAACGGGCTGTATCCAATCAACGCAGGAGTCGCGGTGTTTATGTTTAGGCCGCGGCTTTCGCCCAATGAGCGCAAAGATCCCAGAAGTCAAGAGAGTGACGCAGGGCCTGTCCAATCACCGCCGTTGGCTGGGGGTAGGCGTGACTGTCTTGTACATTGGGTGAGTGACACGGCTTTTGGCCAATCACCGTGGACTTCCGTGTTCTTCCACGGAAATACCGCCCTCAATTTGAGTGACTCGGCTCTAAACCAATCACCACGGATTTCCTTGTTCGCAGTGAAGTTACCGCCCTCATCGTGAGTGAAGCGACACTAGGCCAATCACCACGGATTTACCGGTCTCAGCTGAGCGTCGAAGCTTTTGTCCAATCGGCGCCGAGATTTCGGCAGGAGGCGGGAGGGATACGGCTCTCGTCCAATCACAATTTTAATTCCAAGACTTTACTGAATTACGGCGGGAGGTGACACTTCCGAGAAATGTCCACTGGGCGGCGACAGAGATACACGAGTCTATGGAGGTGAGTCTTAAAGCGCTCTTGTGCAGAGATTGGAAATCAATACAGATGATAACTATGACTTTTGTGACAGCAACTCTGAAAGCTAATTTAAAGAAGGAAACTAATATTAACATTACTATTAAAGAAGTTAAATAATGCTACATTTAAACGAATTGAAAGTAATATGAAAATATCGTTTGTATTTTTTTAAATATGATATTTGCACGATATAATAATTAATGAAATGGTGTGGGAGGAGAACCATGTTTGAACAGTTTCAAACAAATGTAAATGCGTCTGTACAGACAATTTGAAACATGTACGGACCTTATCTGCTTTTGTTTACTATTAAACAAGATTACGTTTAATCTGTTTTCATAATATGTACATGTATTATTGTATGTACCACTGAGAATACTCTACGTTATATGTATTCTTGTTTTTATTGCATGTATTGTTGTTATAATTAAAAATAAAAAAAGACGCGAATCGATTACATCAAAAGGAAGTGGCCCAAAGGGCTTATGGGAAATGTAGTCTCTATAGTACTCTGGACTGTGCTTCCCACGTGTTTCGGGGATTTGATTGAACATCAGATATAATTATACAATTTCAGCGTATTTATCGTGTCACGGATTTCGTTGTCTTTCTTACAAGACGGACTCGGCAGGAGCTGTTTCTCTCTGGAGTGAAGCTCTCTTGGGAAGAAACGAGCAAAGTCTTCAGACTCTTTCTAATTGAGACATCATGACAGCTGTGCCAACATGATCTTCATTGACCCGTTGAACCTGTTTGTGTAAAGAGCAGGAGTACTGTGTACCCCTATTGTGTTATGTGTACTCTAATGTGTTTTTTTCTGTTTTCTATTTTTATTTCACAAGTCGGACCCGGGCAGTAGCCTGTGTCTTCAGCGCTCGTCCTGCCTAGGTGATAGACTTGGCACAGAAACAGAACCCACTGCCGTCGTGTCTGTGGGTTTCTTTGCTCCCCTGTCTTGTTTGCAAACTTTTTTCCTGTGTTTATTTTACTTTGTTAAATAATATGTTGTTGCCAGAGCAACCGTACTACAGAAATTGTTGCAGGAGCGGGTCTGACCTCCAGCACGTAAACAGCCGACGTTTTAAATCTAATCGGCGAGGAAAACAGGAGCTGTAGCTCAAAACTCGTTGTCAGGACCATCTTTGTGGATATTACATGAGTGAGGAAGAAACGTTGAGAAGCGGAGCCGGTCGTGTGTCGCAGGCTATGGGACAGGACTGTTAGGGAAACACGCAGCAGGCGGAGAAATATCAGTGCTGGACACCAGACTCACACCGCTGGGCTCACCGGAGTCTCCGGTCACAACATTATCTGCAAGTGGATGTGAAAAGGTGAGAGACGGCAGCGCAGTGCGTGGTCTGTGTGGAGTTTGCATGCTCTGCCCGTGTTCCTATGGGTCCAGTTTCCTGGGGTCTGTCTGTGTGGAGTTTGCATGCTCTGCCCGTGTTCCTATGGGTCCAGTTTCCTGGGGTGCTATCTGTGTGGAGCCGACTAAAGCAGTGACCTCCTTTCTCTACAGATTTTTTTCTTATTCGGATGGGATCATCTACAAACTTAATTCCTTTCACACAGTCAGCAGTAGATACACAGTTGTTAGCATAGGAGGAGTACAGAAGAGGTGACAGTGCCTCCATTCTTTGTAAAATTACAGGTTTCTCTGGACTGCAGTCCTCTTGCACTCTGCTTAGGATGTGCTGTGCTGTTCTCTACAACATAAGACCCTTTGTTGGAAGGAATGGGAAGCTATAGGCAGAATCCCAATCTCTGATACATCTAATCAAAACAGTAAGTTCTTTAAAACAACTAAAAACATTGTCATCAAATTAAAACTAATTTGCAAGTCATGGTGCACCACTTAAAACTGCCAGAAAAAAAATCCCTGATCGTATCCCAGTTGAGGAGAAAGCCAGGGCTGCAATGCCAACCAGTCCGTCACTCCAGGTGTCCCGACACACGAGTAAAAACCTTTCCTGTTCATCACCTGTCAGGTTTCAAGTCAGAAGGATGGGCGTCTCCAAGCCGGTCTCTGCAGCTGAGGCTCTGAGGAGCTCCCGACAGACACGAGTGGAGCTTCGCTTTCAACACCACTGTGGTCAGTAAAGGTTTAATATTCTTAAACACGAGAGCTGGAGTTTCTCTGAACGTTATCTGCATCACAGCAGCTATGTTTCATTCACACTGGATCTCACAACACACACAAACAGTGCAAGTTAACATGACCTTAAAAATACATATCGTATTGCATAATATATTTGTAAAGCAACCCGAAGGCACTGGTTTTACATGTGTCGCCGTGATGTGCTGTAGAGTGGGACTGCTAGATGATGGATGGACGAGTCATCCCTTCCTGCAGATGCAGTACTTTGACACCAGAGGGTGAAAACATCTGTAGAAAAGTCATTTTCAGATGTGTTGTGTTTTCTTGAGAGAGGGAGTCTTCATTATCCCCAAGGTGGACGTGTTTCACGCCAGCAGGCAATATGTAGAAAAGCACACAAACTAACAACACACAGGCACATGCCCAAGAGTCATCTGTTGAGATCACACACTGTATTATTATTATTGAGAGACAGACTCACTGTTCCTCAGGCTGGGACAGGAGATCACACACTGTATTATTATTGAGAGACGGGCTCACTCTCTGTTCCTCAGGCTGGGACAGTAGATCACACACTGGATTATTATTATTGAGAGACAGGCTCACTGTTTTATGGCCACAGGTCTAAATGAGAACTTGACCCTGTTTGTTTTCAGAGGAGGAAAGCAATTTCTGTGTTCGGAGGTCAGGGATTGGAAATCGTTAAACAAAGGGTGCAGATGGTCCTCTGGGATGGAACAGGCTTTGCTCAAACATGTGATGATAAGATGTGGGGAAGGGTTGGAAGAATAGCACCAGTGACCTTCTGACACTGTCTGGCAGCACTCCCTAACTCCTTCCCTCCTCCGATTTAGAGTCACACACTGGCAGAGCTGTGCACAAGTTGCAACAGTGTCAATAAGACTGATCAAACAGGATTCACACAGGACATTTACATCCACCATCCATATCATAGAACATTATTGAGAGACAGGCTCACTGTCTGTTCCTCAGGCTGGGACAGGAGATTACACACTGTATTATTATTGAGACAGGCTCACTGTTCCTCAGTGTGGGACAGGAGATCACACACTTTGCTGCAGCTTTATTGAGTTTTCTTTCCCAGTAATAATTGCTTACAATAATAGCACTTTTCTGGACCCTCCACTCAAAGCACTTTACAGGTAATGGGGTCTCCCCTCCACCACCACCAATGTGCAGCCCCCACCTGGATGATGCAACGGCAGCCATAGTGCTCACCACACATCAGCTATTAGTGGGGAGGAGAGCAGAGAGTAATGAAGCCAATTCATAGATGGGGATTATTAGGAGGTTAGGGCCAATGGGAAATTTGGCCAGGACGCCAGGGTTACACCCCTACTCTTTTCAAGACGGCACCTGTTTACAGTATAGTGTTCCCATCACTATACTGGGGCATTAGGACCCACGTGGACCGCAGGGTGAGCGCCCCCTGCTGGCCCCACTAATACCTCTTCCAGCAGCAACCTTAGTTTTTCCCAGGTCTCCCATCCAGGTACTGACCAGGCTCACACCTGCTTAGCTTCAGTGGGTTGCCAGTTGTGAGTTGCAGGGTGATATGGCTGCTGGCTAGGACTAGACATTGTTCTGATTCTGGTAGGTGTGGGATACATTTGGGTTTTTGTCACCTAGTTGCTATGGCCTGATTGTGGTCTCTGAACCTGTGCTTGTCAGAGTCTGTATCTCTTTGCTGTTTCTTAGCCTGGTCAAATATCCACCTAGATAAGATAAGATTTCATTGTCCACTGAGATATTTTTTTTATGGACACCCAGCAGTCCTGTACATTTAAATAGAATGCAAACAAAAAAAAGAAGAAAAGAAAAACATTGCACCTTATTCTATTACAAAAAATAAGATAAATATTGCACATCACTCTCTTGCACTTGTACAGCAACATGTAACTTTTATAACACATCAGGAAACATATCGCGCTCAAGTGGGTTGTAACAGTCATAAGTGTGTTGGATAGTGGAACAAAGAAATGTTTGTATCTGTTTGACTTATGTTTGACAACCCTAAAACGTTAACAGGAGGAAGAAGTTGATATTCAGAGTTGAGAATGTGGGAGGGATCTGATATAATTTTTCCTGCCTGTTTGATAAGGGATTTTTCCAAGATTGTCTGCAGGGAGGGATGCCGTTTCATGACATTCAAAGCTGTCTGGAAGAGGCAGGTTATTTGCGATTTTAAATGAACTGATAGATGACCAAACCACACTGTAATCCCACATCTAATAATGTTCTCAATTACAGCACGGTAAAAGAGTTTCATTAATTCCTGTCGAACCTCAAGCACTCTTAGTCTTCGCAGGAAATATAAGCGCTGCTGAACTTTGGAGCAAACACTCTCAACAGGTAGTCCAGCAACAGGTTACTGCCTATGTGTACATCTACACATTGAGGCGGAGCGGTGGCTCTGTGGCTAAGGATCTGCGCCTGTGACTGGAAGGTTGCCGGTTCAAATTCCGCGGCCGGCAGAGGAATCCTACTCCGTTGGGCCCCTGAGCAAGGCCCTTAACCCTAACTGCTCCAGGGGCGCTGTACAATGGCTGACCCTGTGCTCTGACCCCAAGCTTCTCTCCCTGTCTGTGTCTGTGTCTCCATGGAGAAAAGCTGGGGTATGCGAAAAGACGAATTCCTAATGCAAGAAATTGTATAGGGCTAATAAAGAAACATTATTATTACCTAAGTACTTATATGAATTCACCTGAGTGTTGTTTGTTGTGGATTACTACATGCTAGTGATCACCAACTGCTCTGGGATTAAAAATTATTTCTTTTGTTTTTTTAACTTTGAGAATTAGGCTATTGTTGTCACACCATTGCACAAACCTTTGGATTTCTGACATGTATACAGTTGAGCTGCTACCTCTTTGCATTAAGCCAAGAACAGCTGTATCGTCTGATAATTTGAAAATGAAGTTGGTTTGACTACTGCTTGTACAATCATTTGTATAAAGTGTGAACAGAACTCGAGAGCTCACACAGCCCTGAGGGGCACCTGTGCTCATAGACCGTGACTCGGAAAGAGCTTTGTTGCGCTTGACATACTGTGTACGATTTGTTAAAAATGAATGGTACCATCGCATAATGTTATGATTAACAGAGTTAGTGTGTATTGTGTGTATTGCCTGTTTAGGATTCTGTAGCATTTCAATTGGGAGGATGTTTTTATAGAACTCTGTGCATGGAGTATCTACAGGCTGTTTGTCCCATTTAGTGTAATCTTGCTCAGTGAAGGGATCCCACACTTCACTGCCGTATAGGGCAAAGGGTTCGATTGCACTTTTAAATATTTAGAGCCAATTTTATTGGGGGATTGATGTTGTAGAGCCTCCTTTTACTGGCATGGAAAGCCCTGTGTGCCTTCTCTTTCAGTGACTTCACTGCAAAGAAAACTCCTAGATGAACTGATTGTCAGTCAGAGGTAGTTGGTTGTGTTCCAAATTGTTGTTGTTCAGTGTGAAGTTGTAACCGTTTTCCTGAGATCTAGATCGCTTCTGGAAAACCAAGACTCTGGTGTCTCTGGTCGCGTCATTATCTGCAGGTCTGACAGTCCTGCTCCAGCAGTGCCAGGCTCTGCTATTCTTTGTCCAGATGGGCTGGCAGTGCCCAGGTCTGACAGTGCTGCTCCAGCAGTGCCAGGCTCTGCTGTTCTTGGTCCAGATGGGCTGGCAGTGTCCAGGTCTGACAGTGATGCTCTAGCAGTTGCCAGGCTTTACTATTCTTGGTCCGGATGGGCTGGCAGTGCCCAGGTCTGACAGTGCTGCTCCAGCAGTGCCAGGCTCTGCTGTTCTGGGTCCAGATGAGCTGGAACTGCAGGGCTGCAGGCTCTGCTGCAGCCCCAGTTCTGGGTCCAGATGGGCTGTCAGTGCCCAGGTGTAAATGTGATGGGATGTGTGGTGGTTTGGTAGGAAGCCAGTCTGATTCTTATTCAGGACAATGTGCTCAGTAAGGAGAGCCGGTAATCAGATATTCAAGATACGACAGAGTTCCTTCCCCAGGTTACTGTTCACACGGAAGCCCCGGTACCTGTTGGGGTCGAGTCTGTCTCCATTCTTACAGACGGGCGTGATCAGTCCTTGATTCCAGGCCCCAGGGAAACATCGAACTGTCAAGACAAGGTTGAGGAGTTTCAGCAGGCTTTGCTGTAGGTCTGAGCTGCAGCTAAGTCAAGCGTTGTTGACTGTGTCTTGGCCACAGACCTTTTGTGGTCTGAGAGTTGTCTGTGTATGTATATTGTAACCTTCTGCTGAAACAGCCCCTGAAACGCGCTCGTTTTGTGCCGTGAACACGCTAGGATTGTAAATAACACTGAAGTTTAGCTCAACTTATCGTTTTGTCTGGTTTAAACCGTAAAACAGTTAGAAAAGAGATGGTTTAGCATGTTGAAAGTGTGTTTTGAAAATTGAGATTTTTGACCATTTATCGACAGGCGCGCGACTTATGAAAAAAGCAAAATTGGGCCAAATTTCGTTTGCGAGGAAACGGGCACAGAACACTTTTCCTGCATTTCACATGCATCCTAGAGCACGGCAAATGTATCACAAATTGTCTAGGTGGTGTTAAAACCCCAACCCTAACCCTAGC